GTGTTTAAAGTTGTACAGATCTCTTGTTTTTTTGTCTTTATTGTTAAGTTTACTCCAGGAATCCTCCCAGTTTCTAGCAGCAGGAGGAAACTGGACAGCACTGGAAAACAAAATGCTTTACTTCTTTGTCTCACTTTGATCATTTCTATCAAACACATTTAATAGAGAAAGTGTTCATCACTGAAGGTTTCATTCATGTAAACATTGTGGATCCATGCTGCTGTGGTTCTGGCGGATGATGGTGGTGGGGTCATGCTGCGGGCTCTCTCTGAGCTCTCTGCACAGTCTACCTGGAGCCCTGTCCATCATCCGCAGGGCAACGCACCGCTGACTTTTCAGATCACTTCTAAACGGTTAGTTGGGAGATGCTAACGGATGCAGCTTCATCAGAGCTGATGGGATGTGGTGAAGCAGGAGATCGGTCAATCAGAAACATCTCCATCTACGTCATGTCAGTATGGACAGAAAAGAATCAAACTGCTTAGATTCTGTCAGGATGAATATAATCAGTTCTTAGAAGGTGCAGTTAGTTAAATTGGAGGCTTTTAGGTTATAAACTTTTTAAAACATTTAATAAATTTGGTTGCTTTTTACTTTTGGCAGTGTAATGATAATAAAGTTGAATTATATGCTATTAAGCCCTAAAGTGAATATTATTGGTACAGGTTTATTCTTTGACTTGTTTAAAATTGAATTAATGAATCAGGAGGAATTTAAGTTTTAACCTTTCTTACTGGTGGAGTATTTTAACCCTTTATATGGCAAGTTAGCGTTTTTGATCACTTGCATCCCCCTTAAAAATGGTGTCCCCCAGTCCCTCAGTGAGGTCTAGAAGCACAAGATCTATATCCAGCCATTAAGTGTAACACTAGTTTAGTTATATAAAGACTAAAAAAAGCAGAATATCAGAAAGTCTAAGTTCGTCTGCAGGAGCTGTTGTCAGTAATTAATAATAAATACAAAGGAATAATTTATATTAATGCCATTTAATTTTGTAGATGGAAAAAAAAGTAAAACACTACAAAACATAAACCATACAAAGAACCCAAAAAATATACAAAAACAATAAATATATACAGTACTGCAGTATGTCTAATGAATGTACACAAAAGTCTTACATTTCCCAACGGCTCAGCACAACATCTGACTGACACACATTTAAGTCCATAGTTTGATTATCCAGTTATTTGAGATGAGAATGTCCAAGTGCAAATTGTGTCCAACGGAGAAGAGATGAATTATGAAAAGTGTGTCAATATGATGAGATGGAAAGGGAAACGCTACAGACCATCAGCCTCCTACCAGACCAGTATGGAGTTCAGGTTTTCCTGGGCCCAACCAGTGTTCAGTAGCTCGCCATCCTTTAACCCAAAAAAGGGATCACCTGGCCTGTATTGAAATGTACAGGACCAGTAAATTATCAGCTGCTAGTTAACTAGAATTTTTTTATATTCAGAAAATAAATGCAATTACATCCACCTTTCGTACAGACAAAATAGATATCAGCATTTATCATAATCTTAAACATCTTTTAAATTTAAGATCTTAAACTGTTTGACAGTTGATTAAAACAATTAGCATTGGCTAAGACCACCAACATGCTAAACAAACAAAACAAAATTGTATTCATTACTCACCAATTCCATTTTAGGCTCAGTAAACGACAACTTCTTGGCTCCAAACTCACTGGATATGAAGATCTACATGTTTTTTTCATATTGTGAGTATTTAGAGTGCACAATAAACAAAGAAATAACTTGTTTGAAAGCACAAACCTGTAGCTCCTTTGTCTCCAGCTCTCCCCTTCACACCTGACTGGGAAAGCTGGAGCACACTTGAATACCACTTCAGATGCATTGATTGGCTGAATGCATCATGTGATCAATTGTCACTCTAACCCAGTGTTTTTCAACCCTGGTCCTCAAGGCACACTGCTCTGCATGTTTTGGATGTTTCTGAGCTTTAGCACACCTGATTCAGATGATTGCAGTTCAGCAAAGCCTGATAATCTGCCATCAATTGATAACAGGTGTGTGAAAGCTGGGAAACATCTAAAACATTCAGGTCAGTGTGCATTGAGGAACAGGGATGAAAAACACTGCTCTAACCAATAGGGCAACAAGGTGGGATTAAGGGCAGTTTTTGCCTGGGTTACATAAGCAAAGATAATGCTGCATGGATGTACATCTTATTTTGGCATTAGACCAATTAGATGAGCCCTTGATTGATATATTACCTACTGTACATTCAGCAGAAAAAAGGTAAAAAGTTAATAGACAAGTTAAAAAGTAAAGTTAAAAAGTTAATAAGCCTAGTTAACAATTATATTCAGGTTTAGAAACTAATAAATGTAAGTATGAGCATTAATCCTCTAAGGTTAAAAATGTGTTTCTATCTCTCTCAGAGTGTTTTTCATTAATTTCTTATAGAATCACTTTTGTTATTTTTCTCTATATATTCGGGCAAGCTGGCGTTTCTTGTTATTACATCGATATTCATTTTTACCATCAAAATATCTATATTTTTTTATGTTACAAAGGTAATTAGGTCTTGTCCTGTTTTCCAAAAACACTAACAGGGCTGTCACCTCTCACCCATTGGCAGTGAGACTCACCCATCAAACCAGTGTCTACACACAGTTGTTATGAGGTGTGTCATTTTAATAATAATAATAATAATAATAATAATAATAAATCCAATTTGTACCGCACTTTTCATTAAGAAAAATCTCAAAGTGCTACACAGTGCAAATAAAATCAAAGATAAAAATCAACCATAAAACGAATGTGGTCAATAAAATCAAAGATAAAAATC